AACTGTAAGCAGAGAGGAAAATTGGAATATTATCTTTTGATCTACGCTATAAATTTTGTTTGAAGAAACCGTGAATTATTCGAGGAGAATTGGATAGTCGCACTTACACGCGCGTATAATTTCCTCTCTTTTTAACATCAGCATACAGGACGACCTCTTACGCATTTATTTATACTTGCAAATCTTTTATGTGCTTTTCTAAATACATGCGGAATATGTAATATAATCTTCTAGCTTTTCAAATATTTCCCTCCTAGCTTAATATACTCGAATATGGAATGGAAATGAAATACTTCCCAAATGATGGAAATATTACAATGCAATTCGGTGTGCTCATTTACGTTCGTACACTCGTTTCATTTGCATCAGAATGCACTCCTGATCTTCTCGTAGACGCGACAGGGATCAGCGATCTCCTTCAATTTCACCGTGCTCGAAACGATAATCGAATACTGATCGCATCTCCGATTACAATTTCGTCGAGTATTGCCGACTCGAGTTACGCTATCTCTCCGTGGTAACCGAGTCCTCGAGCAGTTGTCGGTCGTCCTTAATCGTTCGATTGGATCTAATTCGCCTTCATGACTATCTGTGTCGCCGTCTTCGTTGTCGGTTCAAGGCCGTCGCACATTGAGGCGCGTCTAATTCGCCTCTTTGCGCGCGGCGTATCCTTTGACTGGTGGGGCCAACAAGTAAAGTAATAATCGCGCGGGCCGGACTCACGACCACGGCGCCGCTGCGAAGATTCTCTTCCCGATCTTATCGGCTCCCTGCCGAAACTTTCGGCGGCGGGTACTCTCAGGTGTCCGCCATCTGCCGCCCTACGGCGAATTTAGCACCTTATGCACTCGTGTTCACCATCGGGACGAGTTTGCTCGCCGCTTCTTCTCGGCCTGCATCGTTTGTACTAACCGGAAAAGATGAAGCTATAAATATCACAATGTATACACGTGTACTTTAGCTCTGTTACGAGCTGCTATCAAAGTTATGAGTCTTCCGCTGAATATACTCAAAGATCTTTAAATGCGGAGAAATGTCACGTTCTAACTATTCTAGTTTGTGATTTCATTTTTTAAACACAATTACACATAGCTTACTATAAAGTACGCAATATGATGAGACTAAAGAAATAGATACGCGAATAAAATATAGCGTTATAAATATTATTTCTTACACATGTCCTGACATTCCTACAATTTGAGGTAATAAAAATATCAGACGAACACGGCCTTAGGCATTTTTCTCGATCTGGTAAAACTTAAAACTACTCGCATATTATCGGTCGCCGCGGAAGCACGCAATCGGGCAAGAAATAATTTCAGGTTTTCGATAGCGATCGTCCGTTAATTTGCCGCAATAGAGAACAATTTGCGGCTCGACCTTTTTCTCTCGCGCGCGCGCGCGCGCGCGCGCGTTGCTGCAGCTGCAAGTGTCACGAAAGCGCGCGAGGTGCCTGATCTCCGCGTGTGCCGCCCTGGAAAAACTCAAAAGACGAGGTCCGCTCGTAGCACGCGCGAAACGCGGTCGTCCGTAGGGCCAGACAGAATTCTAAATCTGCCTCGAGCAGCGTGTCAAAGCGGCCTACATAGTACATTTCCGGAAGCGACAGCGGTGATGATGCAACCGCGATGAAGAAGAAGCGAAGCAGGTGCAGGTGCGCGTTAACAATGCGACCGAATAGCATACGCAGTGAAGATGAACGAGCTCGTTAGTCCTAGTCCTTTCTCTTGAACTCGTGTACGTTGCTAGATATAAAATGAATAAAATCATTAACGTAAAAGAAATATTTCTGGTATTTTTGCAGCAGAAGACTTTTTTTCATTACGCGCGCGCGCACACACAGGCATTTATTATATATTTTATGTTAGGAACGGCTAGCTCTTTCCAAATCTTTATTAATTTCTCTGTAATTTATCACGCAAATAGAGAGAATGATAATTTGATAATTTAAGAGAGAAGAACGTGATTTTATTTTGACTACGCTTGCCATGGCGATATCTCGCTCGTCATGAACATTCCGTTGCTCACGTAGTATGATAGCCGGGTTACTAGTAAATCTTATCGCGCTATAATACTCCCGGCGTCTCACTTACAATTAATGTGCGCGCTGGTGTACGGCAACGAAAATACCAGCGGAAATGCCGGCACGCTGAATAATTAAAGCGAGAAACATAACAGCGCCTAAGAGAGGCGCGCGCCATTCATCCGGCTGTTAAAGCAAAGACTTTCGGCTCTGTATATTTAGCGCGACATCGATTCCTCCTGAAGAGAGACGTCCTGCTTGATGACAGCCTTCATTATTCAAACAACACGGTGCAGAAACAATCTCTCTCTTTCTCTCTCTCTCTCTCTCTGAAATAGATCTAAGGCGCTTCTACGAAAAGAAAAAAAAACTTTGATGTTTGTGTTTTAAATGAGAAGATATAATGTCGTATTATTTATGAGAAGGCTTCAACGAGCGGGAGAGTTTTTAATTGTATTCGAGAGGATCAAGTTTTATGATATCGATGAACTAACTTTCTGTCGCTGCACTAGAGAGATTTGATAAAAAGACCTCGTAAAGCTGCATGGCATAAACAAAGACAATCGCTTTCTATCTTACTTGACTATCTTAAAAAAATATAAAACTATATATGTACATATAATTTATTTTGTTATGCATAAAGAATATACATTTTGAAAATAATCTAAAAAATTACTTGTCTTAAACGAATTATTTATAAATAAATAATTTAATTGGTTAATTAAATTTGAAAGAAGATATCTACCTAAACGACGATGCAATATTAAAACAATGGGACATTGTTTTTATCACCGAATGCAAATAATTCGAAATTGGTGTAAAGTTATGGTACAGACATCTGACAAAATTATACAAAATGTTGTTTTCAGAGGAGAACTGTTACAACATCCGTCGATAAAACAGCAGGTAGCACATCCTCCGTCAGTATACATACCGAAGGTCTGGTTAAATAGTGCTCTCCCCATTGTAACTGCTGGCACAACATACATCTACAGTTATCTCGAATATTACTTGGTTACCTGACTAAGATAATATTTCAACAGATCTTCAAAAAGACAAATTCATTTCGTTGTAGTTTCTTTTAGAATTTTTTCTGCAGTCATTATGCATGGCTAATTATATTTTTTTTTTACTTAAAGTAAAACGATTAAGCGGAAGAAAATGAAAAAGACGAAAATTAAATATAAGGAGTCTATTTACAAAAAAAAGAACTCTAATCTGATCGAATCCATGTGATCTTTATAATTATATAATCATAAAATATATATTCAACGAAAGTTTTGCATCATCAATATATATTATTTTTTTAAATAGTTTTTTCAATTATTTTATGATACTAATTGTAAATTTTGATTTTAATGATTTGTTTTAATATTAAAAAAAGTTGCAATTTTAGAATATTGGAAAAAATAAGATCTAATAATTTATTTAAGTGTCTTTTAATATCCATACAAATAGTTTATATTAAATATAATAAAAAATATATGCCCATAAGAGCCCAACGCAGGTGTCGATGCGCAATAAATCTTTATTAAATATAATAGTAATAATCAAAAGTGGAACAGACAGGCAGATTACTGAAACAAAGAATTTCAGAACATAAGAATCACATTAACAAAAACACTACGCAATCTTCTGTTATAACAGATCATCGGTTAAATATAATTGTGCACACGATTTCGATTGGGACAATATCGTTATCCTGAATGAAGAAGCTCACTTAAAAAAACGTTTCAATTCCGAGATGATACATATAAAAAAACAATCCAATGGTTTAAACCTACAAAGTGACACAGAGCTTCTTAATCCATGCTATTCCGACATCATTAATGCGCTTTCAAAACTGTAACTCGCAAAATTTAGTCTCTTTGTGTACGGTGCTTTATGATATGACAGAAAGACATTTATATTATTATTACCACACGTACTTTCCCTCACTTTATTCGTAACGTTCTGACAAGACACATGTTCGGATACGTGTACATATAATTATGTGTTTTCTGCGCTTGCTCTTCTGACCATTTTATGTAAGTTCACGCTTTCAATTTTTTATTCGATTAGCTCAGTTAATTATAATTTTTCAATTCTTATACATATATCTCCATTTATTAAACTGACATACAATATAATTCTTTAGTTCGATTTTTTTAACTCAGAGCAGTTACGTAATAATGGTCAGTAGATTGGTTCTTCACATAAAATCCGGCAAGCTATTGTGTTTGTACGCTTCTTCGCACTGCACTATTGGATTTATGACTAAGCTTGGACTGCTCTGACTATTAAATTCTTCTAACCATTAAATTTATATCTTACACTGAGGAGGTCTCAAACCTATGGGTTGAAACGTATGTTTTTAACTATTACTATTATATTTAATAAAGATTTATTGCGCATCGACACCTGCGTTGGGCTCTTATTATTATATGAGTATATATTTTTTATTATATTTGACTAATTATCACAGAGCCTTTAAAGAAAACTTTTTAGATTTATAGTTCATATTAATTCTAGCAAGATCCAGTGGCGGATACAAGGGGTGGGCGGAGGGGGCGATCAACCCCCCTCTCCAGAGCGCTCCAAACAAATTTCGTATATTGGAAAAAGTCGGTTTTGAATAAATTGAGAAAAAAATTATCAGAAATTATTTGAGACTAAATAATGTTCACTAAATTTTTTTAAATAAAAAAATAACATTAACGACAATAATAACTAAATATGTACATTTTGTCATACCGCCTCCTCCCCCCCTAAAACAACTCTCTGGATTCACTGACAAGATCCGTACAAATCCATATAAATTTACCATTGACGTGCCAACTGGCAATAGAGTATTCAAAACACTTCTAGGAAACACAATTTTAATAGCACAAAAATAATTATGAAACTCTAAAATAAGTTATTAAAAATAGATTCGCTAAGAATCTTGAAAATTTAAAACAAAAAAAAGTAAAAAATCTCAGTGTTTATATTATTTGACATAAATAAGACACAGATGTGGCGAAAAAATTCAGAACATACACAGAGAAGACATCTCTCTTGGTATGCAAATCAATACGTTTAGCATCCGAGAAAGCTAGCGATACGTTTCATTCCGTCTAACTCTGACACAGTTGGAAAATTTCGCGAGGTTTCTACAAGAAAAATTATTGCGAATCGACGTTGCTCGTTTCGCTGGCAGAGTTTTCGGTATGGCGGCCGTTTTATTTATAGCGGAGGAGGTCGCGATGCGTTCTAAAAGCTCCTCGACTCACCAGTATTACATGCACATCCATACCGAGCTCGTCTCGCACCGAAACCTAAAAATCGTCTACCGACAGATCGGATCTGTAACTCAAAAGAGAAAAACGCTTTTTGAAAATCGCAATTCCGGTATTCCGTCGATTACTTGAATAATGTTGTCTCGATGGGAATTCTAGAGCCCTCTGGGAAACGAACACGTGACTTTTGAACCGCTGCAGCTGGGCAACAAAGTGATCGATTTGGTGTTAATATAGTGTAGTTGAAATTTCACATGTCGCGCATTAAAAAGTAGTTTATGATAGACAGATTGATCGAGTACCTCTTGCGCAAGTGTACAGAATACAGTGATTAATCACCACGTTTATTAGGATTAATAAATCTCAGAATTGCTTATTGGATTGCAATAATTTTATGACCAAATTTCCAAATTTCTGAGAATTATTAGAAACTATTTAATATAAACAAAATTTGTTGTGAAATCATAATTATTTTTAACAAGTCTGTATTTAGCAAAATAGTCTTCAAATTTGACAAACATTTCTATGTAGTCAAATTATAGCTAATTTGAAACACATAATTATTAATATTTTATTTTAATTTAATCTACTGTTCTGTTTCTTAAAATTAAACATAAGTTTTGATTTATGTAACTCAAAGTATAATTTTTTTATAATTGCCGAATTTATCATTGTCTTATTGTTAGTTTATCTTTAACTTCGGTTCTAAAAATTGATGCTGATAAATCAAGGTCAGAGCAAGAGATTTATGTGTCTGATATACTCTCGAAGATGTCACAAACTGTTACACTAACTTGTCGGCATCGATCCAAAGATTGGACGATTCTAAAGCAGCAGTTTCCAATTTTCGAGAAGGCATAGCATGTAGCACCAGATATTATCTATTTTCTCAAAAGTATAACATCACTTATTAATAATAAAATTATCAAATATATAGTTACATCATTTATATTATTAAACAACTTTATAGATGATTGTTTAGTATGAATTTGAATGCAGATCAAAAAGAATTGCTGAGATATTCCAATAAATGCAAATATTCTCATAGAATTAAATATATATCGTATATACACAAAGCAAGTTTTTGCGAAATTCAATAAACAATTCTAATAACTACAAATTTTTAACTAATAATTGTAAAAAGACTGTCTTTGTCAATTATTGCAAAATGTGATACTTTGTTTTTTAAATCTTCAGTCAGAAGTGACGGACGATTCTGTTTCGATGCATCTATTTTACGTGGAATGTCTGTGTGCCGTGTATTTGTGTCGAGCAAATTAAATGAAGACAAACGGTAGGTCGTGATAAATGCGGCTCCGAACCAGAACTCGACGGATCTCGTGTCGTAAGTTGACGGACTCGCGAAGCTGACGAAAACTGCTCCAGTCGACTGGAGACACGCGTGACAGATACCTTCTTCTCTTCAGTAACAACGAGCATCGCAATATCTTTGCTTCATCTCGATCTTCCGTACGCCAACTTTCGCCTTTCAAGATGGCACATCTACGGCGCCCAGTGAGGCGGGAGCATTACAAGCCTTTCGGAAGAAGAAGGGTAAATCAAACACGTTTATAATGTTTCTAGTTGTTATAAGTTTATAATGTTCATAAGTTAATCGATTTATGCAACTTTATGGGCGATAGATCTATTTTTGAAACAAAGCGACTAGATGTTAAAACAGTGCCGAAAATCTGAAATAGCAACTAATATGTTCTTTAATTACTGAAAATTGTCACAATTATGACGAAACATTTTACGATAAATTTCTTATATTTTGAAAGAATCTTAGAATCAAAATATCTAATATGTAAATATGATTTATTGATAAAATGTCGGTTGGAGGGTATTCTATATATAATAAATTCTACGCGCGTGAAACTAATCAATAAAAGATACTTGATTTAATAATCATGATACTGTGTTTCCATTGGGGAGTGCCATTTGTTCGCAAAATCGTACTATAAATAAATGGTTATAAAAGCAAATACCAATTCGTATCGCGAGCATGCGCGTTCTATCTTTACAAGCACAATGCTCTTAAATTTTATTTTTGTGCCACGTGACCGCGATGAAAGGAGCTGCCGTCACGCTTGTATAGCTCCGCCGATCATTTATTTATGAACTGCGATTTCGAGATCGAAGCTGTTACTCCGTATATATCTACAGGGTGTTCCGGAGTTGTCACATTTTTTTACTTGCAAAACGATCGAATAATTTCGATTTATTTTTTCTTAATGAAATAAATCTACAGAATTGAAAATTTAAATTTATCAAAAGCGTGTAAATAAAAGAAAGTTTTGAAATCTAGAAGCGGAAACTTTAAATAATAAAGAAAAATAGTAAAACGTAGAAAAAGGGTAATATCTGTGTGTAGTAATCTTTAGAATTGACTGCAATTTAATTGTAGAATCGAAGGTTTCAGCAGAAAGCGAAGGGAATAACACGTGTACGCACCCTACGTGACCTACATAGATGACCTAGATTTGCACTCAAATGAAACCGACTGCAGAAAATAGCTTAATTCTTTACAAGTTATTCTTAATATTATTTTTATTTGATGGAATTTTTATTGATACTGTCAAAACATTTTATTGATACTATCAATTTGCAAAGTTACTTAGTAAAATTTTTTTATTATTTTGATTTTTATTTATTATTTATGTTAATGACACTTGCGTGTAAAATATTTACGGAAAGCGGGAGTAATTATCAATTAAAAATATTAAAATTTGCATAGTTCTTTATAGCGTTTAAATATAGGAGAAATAATATTTATACAAAACGTATTGTTGTTTGCAATCAGGAAAACTAAGTGATGATTCGAAACAGTAATACAATAGACGATATGTAGTACAAAGAATGCCGTGGATCGACACTGCTCGAGATAAGAATAATAATCTTTTTTATCTGCAATTCCCCCTGTTTATAACATATGGGACACTTATACGATCATGCGTTGAATAAAAATTGGCTTTGAAAAGAAATCAGCATTGTCTGATTATCTTCCAACGTAATGCTAACGATAATAAAAGCGACCAACTGGACATATTAAGATCAAGCTTGATAAGAGAATGCTGCGTGTTATTTATCGCTCGGCGCGCAAGATACATTCCATGTCAGATAAATATAATTTTTTTAATTATGCAGAAGGAAAAACTGAAAATTTTCGATATTATCTGACAATGCAGAAATAGAAAAGTCGATTTATACCGATTAGCTATATATTAGTCACATTTTTATTAACTTATTATACCGAAAGAAATCTTATTGACTTGATATCAGAAAGATCATGCCATATTAAGTAAAAATAGATATAAATGCAAGAAGAAAAAATCGGAATTTAAAAATTCCGATTTTTCATTTAATTTACTCTATTTATATTTAATATGATGTGACATTCAATTTTTGCTTGTTTTCTGAAATTGGATGAATGTATATTCGGTAATTCAACTCTCCACGATCGGTCGGTTATTCTTGAGCAACGCTGTATGCATGTACACCGGGTAGGACACGTTACCGTCAGGGTGCAGTGGCCTGGCGTTGTCGTGCGGGTCGCGCTCCGGGTGGTTTGCGGAGGAGGACGCGGCGGAGCGGAGCGAAGCTGAGAACGGAACACCCCTCGGATCGATATAGTAACGGGGGTGTCGTCCGACCATCCTCAGTGGCGCCCGCACACGGACGAGTCACAAAATGGCATTGCCAGAGAAACGGCGACCCAGCCAGAAGGCGCACACGGTCGCAAGGACCATGTAGAGTCAGTCCGTGCAGCACCACCGCGACCATCGCTCTCGCAGTTTACCGCAGCTACCGTGAAGGCTCGCAGCAGTGAAAGCTCACGGGGGATGAAGGGTAGTGTGCCGCGAACGCGCGCGATGCTAACCGGGCTCGTTTAGGGGGTGATTTTTTTTTTTTTTAACGCGATCGAATAGGTTCTCGAAATTCTTAATGATAGAATTCCTTTCGGATATTTGAGTTACCCTTACAGTTAGTGAAACCGGAGTGGTCGCATTGATAAGAAACGGATACGCGCGTGGTGCACAATATTTTTAGCATTTTTGAAGCAAGGTGCTCTCCTCATGTCGAGGAAAAGGAAGGGTTGTCAGGATGAAAATACGTGATTTATTTGGTGCTAGAATTTTCTTACGGAAGAAGGTTCGTAGATGGGGGTACGGGCCTATCGCTTACGATGTAAGCCATGGGATGAGAATAACAGGACGAATGCAGGCATCTGCAGGTGAAAATTGACAAGGCCGATCGCTATTTGTCGATCGACCAGCGAATTGGAATGTGGTAACTGCACTCGAGGTTGCATGATGTCGTTGACCTGCTTTCAAGCGCCACGGTGCTGTGGTGTATCCATTGGTTTAGCGCGGGTCATGAAAAATTTCGATTTGTTGTAACATAGATTTTACCCGCTATATCTAGTATTGCTATCGCCACTTCGTTGACGAAAATACTTTCTTGTATGAATTTTTTTTGTGGATTGATGAAAGGGTGATGTCTTAGAGACACATGTCTTATTGATCTGTTAAAGCGTGATTAGATTTGATTTAATTTGGCACAGTGTTATCAAAAAGAGAAAGAAAAAGCTTCGAATGATTTAAAAGAATGCTAGAAATTAAGTTGGCGGATATTACAGATAACAATAACGTCATTTATTTTGTTTTTTAGCCAAAATTTATAAAAAATAAGTGCAGCATTTAAATAAAACATGTGTAAAAATTTGTGTAAAAGTGTTTCGTGTAATAATTTTAAAATCTTTTGTACTGAAATATTGTAAGTTCTTTGAAATACGATATATAGATCTCAACGATATACAAATTTTTTTCTATTTTTCTCTTGTCTTTCGTTGATTGAGCGTTAATTAATTTTACAGAATCTTAATCAATTATATCCTTTTCTTTATTATATTATCTCTTTCTCTCTCCCTGATTCGTTTATTAATATTAATTGTACATATATAATTTTCCGTGTACGTCGAAATTTCGTCCGGACAACGAATTCAAAGGAACGGATTTCTAAGAGGGTCAACAGTATCGATTATCTAGGAATGAAATTGATAATTCAAGAGCCGATTTCGCGTTTCTTCGAATTGCACTTTCGATTAACTGACGAAGATAATAACGGGGCTATTTGCGAAGTTATTTCTATAGATTAATTAATTATCCAGATAGATGAGGCGATCGGGGAATTGCGTGACAACGCTCGATGTGTAATTCTCTTCTAAGGTTGCCACAACTTCTAATTCAATTTTTACTTTTTCATTTTAATTGTATGTCATTTTAAAAGGGTTTTTACAGGGGTGCGGCGTGTTTAGTAAATGAAAAATGCAAAAGCTTTTCCTTGGAATATTATAGTAGAAAAAGTACCGGCAGTAAATTAAACTCCCAATTCTCCAATGCATCTTGTCGCACTTCATATGCCCAGCTATGTAAAAAGTGGCATAGTTTATTTTAACTACGTATTATTACTTAAAGCAGAGTTTTCTTCGAAAATTTTATATTTTAAAGTTAGTTACTTCGGTCCTTGTGAAGAAAATGCATTCTAACAAAGCAATATCTATCCATATATAACACTCTAATTAATTTTATAAATTTAAATATTTATAGAAATACATTACAATACGTTACGGTCAAGGATTTTTATTGCAACAGGAATAGGAAACTAAAGTGAATGATTGTTGAAATGCTGGATTAAAAAATTATTTGTCTTAAAAGTTTTGCTTAATATTGAAATTGCACATATAAAAACATACAATTTTCTTGCTTGTTTAATAAAAGTTAAAAGACTTTTCAATTAATCTTTGAAAATTTTAAATTACGTTTAAAGAATTCATTTATATAAACATTATATGAAAAGGACCTCTAATCTCATTTGATCTCTTGAGAACTTTCAGTTACGGAGATAACCAATTGAAAGTTCGTCGTCAAAGCTGCGCACGATTGAATTAGATAAAATAAAACAACACACTATTGTATCTCTCAAACAATTTGAAGAACTTAGCGTCCTGCTGTGGAAAATTTGTCTCTCTACTCGCACGATTATTCGCAAATCTAGTGATTTAAATCTAACTTTATAATATAAAATTAATTAATAATCCTAATAATTGTGACAAATAAAATGACCTTAAGTTATATTCATTATACATTAGAATGAAAATATGTACTAAGTCTTTTCAAAGCTGTTTTATCATATTTCTTTTTTTTAATAGAAAAAAGTGAAGTTAGGGCACGTAAGATAAATAACTTATTAAAAAATATTTTTTAGATAATTGGAAGTGTCTACATTATTTTCTTACTTTCCGCAGCAAAGTATTAAAATATCAAAGTGTCTTTGATATTTTCTATAATAAAAATGAATCCAGTAGACTATTGCAATTGGATTAAATAATTTGCTGTAACACGATTGACACGTACAGAATCCCGTCGCGACACTTGATATTTGAATAAAACGTAAACCTAATGAAATTCTTAAATTGCACAACCAATGAAATTTTCAGTTGATTATAATTACCGTGAATATTTAATGGAATAGACGCTGATCGCGTGTTCCAA